TTATATATAACTTTAGATAAATGTAACGATATGTATACTATATATATATAGCTAGTAATTATATATATATATAATACTTTTATATATAACTTTTGATAAATGTAACGATATGTATATATATATATAATACTTTTATATATAACTTTAGATAAATGTAACGATCTGTATATATATAATACAATTATATATAACTTTAGATAAATGTAACGATAGGTATAATTATATATAACTTTAGATAAATGTAACGATATGTATATATATATGATACTATTACATATATCTTTAGATAAATGTAACGATATGTATATATATATAATACTATTATATATGACTTTAGATAAATGTAACGGTACATGTATGTTTGTGTTGACGTATTTTGGATGTACACATTTACACGTAATACATTTTTAAGACGCATATCAAAATACAAGTTGAACAATATTCAAGTAGAACAATATTTAAATTCAAGAAGAACAGTAGTATGTAGAACAATATACAAGTCGAACAATATACAAGCTGAACAATGTTCAAGCTGAACAATATACAAACTGAACAATATACAAGTTGAACAATATACAAGTCGAACAATATACAAGCTGAACAATATACAAGCTGAACAATATACAAACTGAACAATATACAAGCTGAACAATATACAAGCTGAACAATATACAAGTTGAACAATATACAAACTGAAGGAGGATTTATACTTTGTACCAAAATCAGAGGATAAATTCTATAACTGAATCAAAATGATTCCCGAGGAAAACCGTTCCATGACATATTTATAAGTCTGCTGGAAAACTCCAAAATACTTTGATTGACGGGTGATAAATTATTGGTTATAAATTAATTCATACCTGACACGGGCTTAAAACTGACCTGTATATCTTAGTTCTTCTTCCTCTTAACCCGGAATAAAAGTTAACGTGAAACTGTCCAGACTACTTTTGTTAATCATTGAAAAAATAATCCACTTTTATTAAGCCTCAACGAAAGTGTGCTTTCTTTGCTTTGAAGCTATTTTTGGACGTTTATCTAATTTTGTAAATATATCTGTAACTTAAACGTACCGGGTTACACGCTTTTTTGAACATGATCAGCTTCCAAACTGTTATTTTGCAGTTGTATAGAAATCGAAGACGTCATTTTCAGTCATCTTGNGAGATGTGGTGTTCATGGCGAGATGTGGTGTTCACGGTGAGATGTGGTGTTCACGGTGAGATGTGGTGTTCATGGCGAGATGTGGTGTTCACGGTGAGATGTGGTGCTCATAGCGAGACGTGGTGTTCACGGTGAGATGTGGTGTTCACGGTGAAATGTGGTGTTCATGGCGAGACGTGGTGTTCACGGTAAGATGTGGTGTTCATGGCGAGATGTGGTATTCACGGTGAGATGTGGTGTTCACTGCGAGATGTGGTGTTCACGGTGAGATGTGGCGTTCACGGCGAGATGTGGTGTTCACGGTGAGATGTGGTGTTCATGGCGAGCTGTGGTGTTCATGGCGAGATGTGGTGTTCACGGTGAGATGTGGTGTTCATGGCGAGATGTGGTGTTCTGTGGTGTTCACAGTGCTTTCTGTTAGAAATGATGTACACAATGAAAAGAGGTGGGGACAAGTTCAGCGGTGAAATACATGGAGAGAAATCATGAACATGACCGAATTGTGTACACGGCGAAAAGTGATCTGCCCGGCGAGATTAAGTGGTGTACATGGCGAGCTTGAGTTGTGTACACGGCGGGAAGCTATGCACGTGGCGAGATTAAGTGGTGTACACGCCGAGATTAAGTGGTGTACTCGGCGAAAAGTGGTGCGCGCGGCGTGTCAGTGTACACGTTGAGATGTTGTGTGTCGTGTCGCTATCTAAATGACACATTGACACATGTACTATAACAAACCTTTTATTATTTTTACATAATTTAATAGAGTATGTTTAATTGTAAATAAATGTCGATACCTCGAGGTTCTGGAATTAAAAGTATTGCACATAAAACTTCGAACTGAGAATATGACAATTGACCAGACTATAGATTGAAATATAAACATGAATATCCGATACTACAAAACAATCTTCATTAAAGTTGCTGGTGATTGTTATTTCTATTTTATGGAAATACTTTGCTATATAATTGCTATTTAAGTTTTGTCAGGTTGGCGCATCTATTTTCATATTCTTACAGAATGAAGTCGTTTTAAAAGTTCCAGTTTCTCTGATATTAGATACATTATCTATATCCATATATCTGACGGCTGTTGAGATAAGTATAAAGCTTCAGCTGTCAGTCTGAGATTTATTGCTACATCCTGACCGACATCGTACCACTTTTAGGAGTGCATGTTGGGTTTTCCGGGGCCGGCAGAATTCGCGCGCTTGCCGCCCAGCATTCGAACAAATACAGACAAACGACTTCCTGTCCGGAGTCAGCGTCCGTGTAGCCTATTAAATGTCACTCCGGATACAGTCGCTTAAACTAGCTGATGTATGCAACTTTTTAAACAATTCATGTTTTATTTTTTAACAAATTACACGAAGGCTATGTCGCCTTGCTTCCTTCCGCATAAAGGAGTGGGATTGGCCCTATCAGTTTTTACTGAAGTCCTTTTGGACTGACATGTATCCTGTAAGATCGCAACCTGGAACTTTGGAGCTAAAGTGTAAGTACTTGTAGTTCATTGTCAAGCTATTTTCCTATAATGTTTATTTATATGTATATATACATATATATATATAACATAGTACGGTAGATCAGAGGTCGATATAATTAACAAACATCGCAACTCTACACGGTAATATTAAAAGGTTGATATTAAGACAATGACCACGGCCACACGTTTTGAAAATTTTAAAATCTCAGTTGAGGTCCGTATTTAGTACAGTATATATGACATGTGTGATTGTGGTTAGACCAAACACTTTTAAAACGGTTTTATTTACGACTTTCAGTGTCGACCTCACATCATTGTTTACATTTATGGAAGACCAAAATGTGTTCAGTTATATTTTATTAGTACCGCTTTTATTTTAAATCCATTATTTTTCTAAATGGAATATGGTTTGCTACTAACACATGCATTTAAGTCAGGTTCTCTGATCTCCAAGTTTGATAACGAAAAAACCCTCATAAATTTTACAGATATTTAATTAAAATTCGGAAATTACCCTGAATTAGTAATTAGCTTATACACGTGAAATATGCCTTATTTTCCTACCAAATGCTTCATTGTACAAATTCTGTTGAAAATGAATTTGTATTTTATCATACATATTAATCATCGACGATTATGGGCATAATTTCTGTGTATATATTTTTTTAATCAAGACAAAATCCTGTTATCGAAATTGAGCAAAGTAACATGTAAGCACAGTATATGTATACATGTGTTTTCTACTTTAAATACTTAACATTTTAACGCTATTTATTGTTGATGTTTACTGTATCGTGTACGTGTAAACAGAGACGTTTATAACCACGGATATATCTATATATAGATAATAAACACTGTCTTCTTTTATAGAGAATACGGTCGTTAGTACAATGAAGAAAATATAACCACATACAAATAAAGATTATTTATCAAGAATATATTAATATAATACTTAAATGAGATCAGTAAGTTATTTTATATAATTAAAATAATATATAAACAAACAAATGAGCTGGTATCTTTAAATTGTTAATAAATAAATATGAACTGTATCATTAATTTGGCGTTCGAGACTTATTCGAAAGTTTGAAAATGATGGTTTAAATATGAGTACAATTAAATATCTCTCCCTCTATCCTTTAATTAATTCTATCAATGTATGATCAACTGAAATTTCACGGATCTTGTGCACAAAAGACATTTTCTTTCTGACGTTATTTTAATTATGGCTAGGAAAGTTCCCGATAGCATTTAATTTAACAAAATATTAATGTATAACTAAATTGAATTGGTGATTAGACATGTATAGATGGCAATGGTTTAAAGTCTATGCAAACATAAAGGAACGGTGACTGGAATATATGAAAGAATATTGTTCCATAATAATTTGTGACTAATTAAGTCCAATGCAAAGTATCTACATTAATAATGAACTTAATTACAGTAAATTGATACAAAATATAGATAATAATCATATCATTGTTCAGATTAGAATATATAATAAATTACTTACAAAGCTTAGAGTACGTGGAGGACTAAAAATCCCCGGGTGCCACTGTATTTGTAAAGTATGCAACGTCTGGGAGGTTGAAATTCATTTTATGTTAAATTATATATTTAAATCTAATGTAAACAACGATCTATTAAGCAAACCATTTATTATTTAACATACAAGAAAGATACATGTAATTATCTAATCATCATTTAATTGTCTAACATGTGTGAAATAGGTTTCTTCATAAAACAAAATACAAAAAATAAATCATTTGAAGTTAGGTACCCAGACCTGCTGTATGCTTCAGTAAATTTTAAGTTTATCTCTGGATTTGGATCTGTAATGATCCTCTGGAATAGATTCTAAATAAAAAATAAAATTCGTAATACAATTACAGTGTATATAGATGTTTATGTTATATAAGATACAAGCATTTTTATTTAGAGTCGTGTTTGTAACAATGCAACTTTAGCTCAGAAGAGCTATTCTTACGACTAAAATGTACTAAAAGTTACCACATCTTTATTCTCATATTAAATGTCGTTTGTTTTATTTTTCACATCGGTCCAAATGTTTGGACGAGAAAATATTACAAAGCTGATGTAAGGGCATTGTAGGTATCACAATACCCCATTACCACCACCACCAAAGGGAATGGACATATAGTACAAACGAAATGAACATGATATTAAATCGATTGTCAGGTGTAAATACATAAATATATAATTTGATATCAATATAGAAACCTGTTTATTAGTAAACATTTGACTTTTGTACTTGATAACCCCGTAACATATGTTGTTCAGTGTAATTATAACGTATTTATATGACTACTGTTAGTGATTAGGTATGGTATACAGTAACATTATTTCATGATATAAATACTGAATACAAAGCCCACGTTTTCTTTTTCGTCATTATAAACAATGGATCAATCAGTTCGTAAAATTTATTGCATTTTCTCCTCCAAACATTTGCCAAATAAACAGAATGCACCAATAAATAATATAGCTTTATTACAATAAGCAGGTACATTAATTACAGTTCTTTATGTGTTCAAGCATTAAGAAAGCCCTCTCCGTTCAAATGAGTTCTATTTCATTCATGTGACATTATTTCACATTTAAATACAGAATATATAATTTTTGTATTATCTGTATTTTAATGTGAAATAGTGTCTCATAGGTCAATCTGGCCGGATTTTAATTCTGTCAATTATTTTTATTAACATGGAAACCTTATTTGTGAATTTAAATATTACACTTAGATAAAAATAATAAGTATTATTATTTAATTGATGAAGAGGCTCATTTGAGGAAGAAGCTGTAGATCATCAGATGCTGCTAGTACTTCTGTAAGTCAACAGAAGGAACTTAATTTCAATTTCCCAGACATATATACAAATGCTATATAAATCAGAGGAGATTGGGAATGCGTTAATAGTCCTATACAGTTTACGCCTAAATAGTTAAAAATGGCTGAGGGGACTTGGACGGAATTTGTCCCCTCAGTAATTATTTTTTAATTTCACGTGCAGACACATGATGAATTAACAAAATGTTCACATGGAGCGAAATTGGCAATATCTTTTAAATTTCGAAAACGTTCTGAAATATATGTTTTAGAAATACAGTAATGAAGGTGACCCACGTTATTGCCAGACAACTACATTGTATGTACATGTTTGATATGGTGACTGTTGTGATATCTAATAATTTTGTAAATACAAGTACATGTAATATCTTTGTGGTGTCATTTTTTCGGTCACATACAAGTATCTAGTGGTGCCATCTTACAGCCATTTACTACGGTGATCAAAGTACATGCATGAAAGAATTTGTTATAAAGTGGCGTGCGAAATTTAAGTTGATGTCATATTTCAGGAATTTGTGTTAAAATTATATATTAAGGTTAAAGTTGAAAACTGAATTTCATCTATTTTCTCTGAGGAAGTGCATTGAATTTACAAACTGATAAATTTGATTTGAGCAGTTTTCTCGATTAAACTCTGCATGCAGGCCCGTCATATTCAAACTGTCCCTCCTCTAAGACTCGAACACACGACTAGCAACTCTAGAGCTTTTGCGCTGTAGCGGAATACAACATGTAAAACGTTTATTACTGAGTCGACATAGGAGCAAGAATGCCCAGAAATTATTGGTTTAGGTCTACCACGTGATGATCCTCTACATTTCTATATAGGGTCATATAGAGGGTAATATATATATTGGCGCTCGTAGCCAGTCCTCTGCTTTAAACAAGGAAAAAACGACTTTTTTCAATTTCATTCTGATATAAACATTTAATATCGTTCAATCCTTACATTTGCATTGTAAATAATAAGTTATTGTTGACCTTAATACAGATATTCCCTTATGTTTTCGATATTGAAGTATCTGTGTCGTCAGTGCAACCAAGATTCCTGGAACAGCCTAACGTCACTAAAAAGTTTGCTTCTAACAGCGGCTCATGCTATTTGAGGCAAGAGGAAATAGCGTTTATAGCTCTATAAACACAATTTCTTCTAGAAATGTTTATAGAGGCAATGTATATATAACTAAAACAACAGGTATTTTTTTTTACATACGATCATTTCAAAATCCGAATTGGACAATTCACACCTTATCATTTGTAATATAATATTTCGATATCGTAAGGAAATGAGATTTCCCCCGGTTGTGAAAAGTGTTTAAGCTCACCACAAACGTGTCATGGATACCTGTAGTTGATCAAAGTCTATAAAGATGAGGTCTCGGGAATAAATGATGGAACAGATTTTTCAAAAGATTCCTTTGGTAAAACATAGAGTGGAATTAGTTGTGGACCGAGACCTTCAGCGGAGATTTGTAGTCAGTTACTGATTAAACTTCTATAGGAGTCTAGAGGTTAGTAAGATGTAAGACCCGGTCTAACACTAACTCAACGTCCACATCCCAACACCCAAAAATACCAGAAACTGACATATTTCTGGTCAAAACAAAATGGAACACCGAGTCGGATTTCCAATAGAACCTGTTTAGTTCCTGACTCAAATCTCCAAATTACGGCCTACTTTTCTGGTAAAGGTTTGCTGGTGTTTTCTTTTATTGATGTGTAAATAGCGTGATACAGATATAAAGGACGGCTAGGTGTTAGTGTAACGGAACATTCCACACTCTATCCGTCACCGAACGGTCAGTAATCCCCTATTATCACTGATCACCTTTCATTTTCCGCATCTGGATACACGAAATGCGATTGATCTTATAAAACTTCCTAGTCCAATATTGCAGGGCCAGTTGTTATGGTTATAATGGACTGAAAATACGACTCGTGACACTTAAGTGGGAAAACAACCCTCGTCATTCTGATCAACATAATTTATTGCAATCATACTTTATTTATCTCGATGACTGTCGAGTTGCTAGCCTAAAACGTTGAAGGTTGAAATCATGGCGGACACTTATCTGATTCTAACTTATCATGTTACGTCAGAATTAGATTACAACAGATAGTACAACTATCAGCGTCACGCATAGCGAACTATATCATAAAATTCTGAAAAAAATATAATAGAACGATTAAAATCTATAAAAAGGTAACGTAAGGTCATTTTTTTTTATATATATTTGATGAATACAGAGTTGCTTTTTTATGTAAATAATCTAAAAATAAATGAAAGACATACTTGTTTCCTGTATATCAAAAGTGACACACCCCTCTTAAACGTATACGTAGCTTTAGACGTGAAATAAAGCACATTAATAGATAAAAATATATCTATATACACTCGTCTGTCACTAACTCGGTTAAGAACTTCAGAGATAAGCATTATGTGCCAAACTTGTTCAATATCAAACATGCTGTATTATAAAATTAGATCAATGCATATTTCTAAACAAATTAATCTACTTTGATGTTTCAGTTGTGATAGATGGATTGACTTGTGATATCTATCGGACGGACTTGCCGCGTCTACACGCCGACCTCGTGAGGGACTTTGATCGCGTAGACTACAGTATGAATCATCTGAGAGCGCGCCCTATACCATACAGCTGGCCATTTCTCAGTATGTACTCGGGAGAATGCTCCAATATTAATTTAGACTCGAAAGTATTTTTCATTCATTTATTTATGTAAACAGCAGTGAATCATTCATACAACACCTACTTGCAACCATAAATTTTCGCTTACGAATTCTTCAAGTATGCAAATCGATTGATTTGTGAAATGAGCATATCGCTGAAACAGACAACGCCCTTAAAGAGCGAGTTCTGATTGGTTCATTTCTTGTCACGTGCGTGGGATTCAGGTGCTGTACTAATTACAACACTGTCTCGCGAGTACCTATTGTCATCAGAGAGGAATGTCAAATATTCCTGGAATTTACACATCTGAAGAATTTCAATCGTTCGCACCTAATACAGTCACAAATAAATATTACCAACACATACTACCAGTCATCACTACTGTATTTTTTATAGGATTATCGATCAGGGTGACATAGTTACTATAAAGCTGGCACGCGCCAGTCGCACATGTGTATCAGGGTCGCTGTGATCGCTCAGTGCAGCCGCCAATGTTTATGTTCCGTTGGACACACATACATGTACACACAAGTATACGTGGTGGTCGAGATTTGACTTAGAGAAGACAAGTGTTCCTGTATTTAAGCCGATCTGAAAGATAACTACCATGTTCATCGCAAGGGGGAAAGAGGCGTCACAAAACATTTGTTTTTCGTGAATGCAGTCCGAGATGAATTCCCAGACGTTAGACGGAGTTACGTCCCTTTAACTGTATGCAGTAAGATCCCAAAATAGAACTGTACACAAACACAGGTTCGAGCATGACCACTGGTTAATATTTAAAGTGCAGACTTCTGTGTTTACAAACATATAGCAGGCAACGTGTGCTGGTGGAATTGACAGGTTTGTTTTTGAAATATATCATTTAAAAGGATGTAAAACATTGCATTGGATACGGGTGATATTGATGATAAAAAGTGCGAAAATCTTGAATTTAATGCGAATTTTTTTTATTTTGACACTTGATTTAGATATTTTTGAAAAAAGGTGAAAACCCAGGTTGTTTTAGCTGGCCATTCGGTGGGATTTCTGGCGGGAGCGAATGACGTTTCAACGTTGCATGACACACTGTATTATTTTTAGATGCTCCCGCGAGTGTATCTGCCTTAGGAAGGGGCAGCGCGGGAAGATGCCTACTGTATGATCCGATTGCAGACGAGTATCTGTGTGCCTTAGTTATAGTATTTTTTTATCCAGCTACGTCACTTTGAAACGAGATTTCACGTGAGCTGGGAGACTACACATATTTTGATCAGCTGTGAAGTGTAAACAGACAGACGGTCCAATGGAGGTGGACAAGACCATGTAAATGTGCTGCAGACCTTACGTGGGTCACAATGCTCTAGTAATTTCACAGACATTTCTTTTTGTTTAACCAAATCCATCCAATGTTTTTGGACAGCATGGATCTGCTGGATTCTTGCAATGATTTTCTGGATCCATGCGATTTGGAGGTAATCAATGTCAACTCGATCACGGACGAGAAGTTGCGATCAGCCACCCTCGAATCCCTTGAGACGGGCAAGATCACACCCCTCCTCAAGGAGGAGCTCAAATGTAGGATCCTCACGCGCTGCTTGGAGGAGGGCAAGGAGCTGTCCCCGGAAAGGGCCATCAAAATACAACCCCGAAAGGACAAGGTCGGTGACAATGTTTTGTTTATATTATATTGGTCCATATTTTTCTTTCTACAATACCTTAAGTATTATTATAATTATTATAAATATTTCCTTATCTTTTCATATAATTAATATTTTGATAATTCAACAATTAACAGTAATACCACTTATACAAAAATGACGATGATAGCATCGTGGCATTTAACAGCAATGATTGTCCACATCTTGTATTGATGTTTTTGACCCTTATACACATGCGGCATGAGTGAAAATTACAAAAAAATAGTTTTAAATCTTGAAGACGATTGGAATGTCTTTGCGTATTTGTCGTGCATAGCTTACAAATTGTAAATACGTTTTGAATGTTCGGAATGTTTAATTCACCATAGATACCTGGATATTTTAGTGTGCTTTGGAGTAACAGCTGTTGAAGGTTACATAGTGTTGATACAATAAATATTGTGTAAACATATGTTTAGGGACATCAGCAACATGTATCTGGAGAATTGTCGTGTTAGGTTAAACTCCTTATTGTACTGTTTTATAAAAAGTTTGACATAAAATATTTTAAATAAACAAACACAACTCATTTTTAAAAACACCATTTTTGATTTATAATAAACATACTGTACATGCCGATATTACACGACGTTTATATAGGTTTTAATTTACTAAATTTACACAAGATAAAGACGGTTGTTTTATTGCTAAACTAACACGAACTGAGGTTGCTAACATTTGTTGCACTTTTTATATTTACACGATATTTAGACATTTGAGGTAACGGTTGTATTTACACGGTATTTACACGATATTTAGACATTTGTGGTAACGGTTGTATTTACACGGTATTTAGACATTTGTGGTTCCTGCTAAATGTACACTATATTTAGACATTTGTTGCTGTTACTTAATTTACACGATATTTAGACATTTGTGGCTGTGACTTAATTTACACGATGTTTAGACATTTGTTGCTGTTATTAAATTTACACGAGAATGACCCGTTTGAAGTATTTTGACTTTGTTTCTATTTCTAAATTTAAAAATTCAAAAACGCGCTTTACTTCAGTGGAATTCCACACATCCTTGGCTACTCTAGCTCCTTTTGTACCTGGAATCACAGTCGTATTATTTATTTCCAAAATAAAAATTAAGCGTGTTTAAAGGTGTTTTTTCGAAATGTATTCAAAAAGCGGATTACTTTTATCTCGTGTGTGTTTTTGTAACCTGAAGTTTCTCTTACATGTATTTGCTTGACAATGACTCGTTCGTATTGTATTACTGGACATGTGTATGTGCTATTAAATGGTTAGCGTTTTATTTTGTTTCACGGCTGTTGTTTGCTTAGATTCAGACGAGAATGATCACACTTCGTTAACATGTCAGAAGGAATTACATGTCTTTTTGTGGTGATATTTAACAATTGAAGTTGTGAGTCATTTGTTACGTTAATTAGTGATAATCAACAACTGGTGATGATGACGATGGTGATGATGATAAACAATTCATCGTGGAGTACAATGTAGTCTAATAGCACTGTCTACATGTTTTGCATCATAAATTCTCTCGCTTTAAAGTGATTGTATTAAGTTGCATTAAAACAAAGACGCGAACATTTAGCCTGTTGTCAGAACAACACAATCAACTACAGATAGAATCGGACGGGGACCTGCGACACAATTCCAGAATACACCAATATCGGCACGCGCTACCCATCACGTGTTCACCGACCAGAACAATTCTCGTCTCGTTCTGAGCCCAAGGGGATATGCATTTTAGGCTACCATATATTCCATAATATTAATTTAATTTGTGGGATAAAAACTCTGTATTACAGAGAGGGAGCGAGAGCTGATCGGGTTCTCTGTCGGGTTGTGCCGACTGGCGGTGCATTCTAATGGTGCCCGCGTCACAATCGATATTCTACTGATGAAGGCGATTATTGTTTCACTGGGGTTTCTTGTATTTTATGCCCGTCTCTCGTTTTTTGATCTTAGACGTCTTTTACTTCCTTTGTCTGTTCTTCCGTCTGTCCCTTTGAAATATTTCCGTAACAATGTAAATTGTATATTAGTGTTGTTTTTTGTCTTCCGGTGCTAGCGTGGATTATGCGGTCGACTAATAAACACCCGTCTCGCTGATGTTTGGAGCGTGTAAATGATACGGATCGATGTGTCTGGCTCGCTGTTTTACGGTCTCCACATGGATTCGTGACTTTTCGGGCAGTAGTGCCTCTTTGTCTGTCCGGCTTGGCGTCTGTCTATTTACGTTCCGTCCGTTTGTCTGACCTTGACGGTCGACCGTTAGTTAAATTGGTAACCGCCTCGCGTGCGTGCTGGGAGTATTACCACCGCTAGTATTTTGAGTCATCTTTCAAGGATTCGGCGTCAATGCGAAAAACGATACCGCGATCGTCTACTGACGGATTCCGTCTATCCGTGACCTAAGTGGCTAATTTCTTTCTTTATATAATCTATTCTCTTTAAATATAAATAACAAGTTGGTTTTGTAGTATTTCAGTGTGTGCTTTTCGATGAGATTATTGGCGCTTGGCGTGTAAATTTGACTTGGCAGTGGGGCTGACCGTGCAGACTTGCCCCTTTGCCAGGTGAGACTGACATACGTGTTTATGATACTGTATCAGCTTACCTATGTAAAACAAAGAGATGGCAACACCCGATGTGTGTTCTATTCTCGGTAGCCGTACGTGTATTCCAAGCCTGCACGTGTCCGACACAGCCAGGCCTGTTTCCACGTGTTAACGATATCCACCAGTATTAGTCACCCTCCACCTTCACGCTCCCCAAATTTAACACGGTTTTGTTTTACTTGTCCCTGCGATTCTATTCATGATTTATTATAGTAAATAATAATTGTATTAGTTTGTAACTTTAACCATTTCCTGTCCAATATTACTGTACATACAATATGATTTTACGAAGCGCTGCATTAGATGTATGTTGAGTCTAATTAAAAAAACCATTAAAATTATTTAGTTATGTGTTTATTTTATATCAAGAATTTATATTATCAGTCATGTGTATGAAAATTTTATAACAGCCACGCTTTGATAATGCATATAATACTTACGGCGCTATAATTAGCAACATGTTAAATTGACACGTGTTCATATTTTAAAACTTACAATAGAAACATGTTCACAAAACTGTTGATAACAATTTCTTTACAAACAAGACTTATATAAGCAACCTATTTTTAAATAATTTATATTAAGTCTCTTCCCCGTAACAACCATCCAACTTCAGACCTTCCATCTAACGGCGCATGTTTTAGTAGTAAATCGGTATAGAAACACCTTCCATCATTTTGGTAACTATGGAACTTGATGAGTGGTGCCCTTTGACTTCCTGTTCCTCCTTTCAGGATATTCCTACGCGATGTACTAGTGTACCATCGAATGTCTAGTTTTAAGCGACTAGTTTAAAGAACATTCAAAGATGATTAACATCGATCAGTATCAAAATGTTTAGTACAGAACTGTCACCATAGCTGTGATTTACTTTGCATATTAAATAGCAAATTTATCACCTCAAGCAAATTCCTACGCAGCTGAATCCTTGACAACATCATTCGAATTGTGATCGAGATAAAGAAGTTCTACAACTAGGAACCATTATTTATCATGGTTATCTTTTATCTTGTTGGTTAATTTAATTGTTTGAAATGACAAAAATTCACACAGGCTGGCTTTCTCTTTACATTAGAAAATGATGTTACTCGTTTGAAACATTTGAAACATATAACAAACAACAGTCCGTCGCTTTGTAACTCCTATTTCTGTCGTAGTAAGTCCGATAAGTGACACAACAATTAACTTCTGAAAACTGTTTGGAGAATTGTTTTGGTACGTTATTCTTTCTCTGAAGTTTGAAAGATAATGTTAATTTTGCCACATGTTAATGATTCCTTTCACTCTTCCGGAACAAGAGGTAGAAATTAAGCAGTAAAGGGCCCGTTTGTTACTACTATAATGGACGGATACACAAATGTTAAAAACACCTCTTCCTGCCTTCATCTTTCCACTGTGTATATGTGTATACTTATAAATAATTGATGTTGCCATCTTATGTTTCATTTTAATATTTTAATGTAAAAACAATGTGCATTTAGGGAAAACACTTTTTTTTTCGATTTGTGATTAAAATGGTTAAACTTAACTAAAAAATTCTAACAGCGAATTTAAATGTGGCTGATATTTTCATATCATTAGCATAATGAACATCTTCATTATTGGTTTAATTACGTAAAAGAACGTAGTTAATTTACAAAAGGAATATTTCGCGGAAGGATTATTGTAAACAACTCCATTCAAAGCCTTTTGTGATTCAGTCACGTATCATTACGCGCACGTGAGTAAGTAATCGTGATAATGGACCCAAAACAATGTTAAAGTTAATTTTAGTTTAAGCTGTATATGAATAATGTACTAAGTATATAATTTAATGCTGTCAACTGTTTCAACTAATCAACAGATCTAACGACATTCATAAGACAGAGATCATGCCATTTTCTTCACGACCATCTTAGAATTGTGTGACCCCTATAGAGGGCATTGTTGATTGTTTGTATGTGATGTGTACGTGCACGAAAATGGGATATATACATGGTTTAGATATGTTTCCCAAATAAAAAAAGAATAATAATATTAACTATGACTTTCATCACGACCCATTCTTTGCAAAAAAAAGAAAAGGAAAAGGAAACTATTGTTTAAAAAGTCGATACATGTTAAATTTTAATCTTACTTTTTTGAAAAAATGCATAGTTTGGACGAAAATAGTAAGTAATTTCTATACAGTAAAATTAAAAAAAGTATGCAGAGGAACACTACCTATCGTTACCCAACTTTGAATATAGAAAAAATTGATGGCAAAGCTGAGACTAAGCAACCACAATTTAGAAATTGAGGCTGGTAGATCTAAAAAGATTCCTCGACAATCCCGACTATGTTCATTCTGCAATATTGTCGAAGATGAAGTACATTTTATATTTAAATGTAAAATAAATTTAAATATCAGGATTACGTTTCTCCAAAAAAATAAAATTAACCCATCATTGCCTTTTCTACAAAATTTAATATTATTATTGTCATCTAATGATCCACAGCTTTTGCAGGAAACAAGCCTCTTTATTAAAAAGTCATTTGAACTGAGGAAGGCAGGCTTACAGAATGCATAAGTATGTAGTTTTTACTGTCCATTATATAGTATCAATGTTTGTTGGATGTTTGCAGCTCGATTCTTGTAAATTGGATGTAAAATGCAATAAAGTTGATTGATTGGTTGTATGTGATGTGTCTATATAAGTTGTGTTATTGTCACGGTTGCTGTCACCTACTTGTACATGAAGTCCATGTTCTTTTTGAAAAAAAGAAATTGCTCTGAAATGTGTCCGTACTGTCTGCTTTCAACAAGATTTAATACATAAACACATATTCGATGATCCCACGACATTTTAAATGTTCAAATTGGATGCAGATGTTTCAGTTTCGTTATGTAGATTATATCTCGCGTCCCAGCCCCCGCTCCGCCCACCCAAGTCTGCGGAAAAGAAGTCAACATCTCCGGGGACACTCTGAAACCGAAGTGACAATATTTAATGAACCATGAATGGGAGATAAACATCGTATTGACAAAACGATGATTACTTCAAACAGATATTGACCATAAACTACAAATTAATAACAGTCGACGTTTGTCCTGGGGACAAGTGTGAATAATATATTGAACTGTCATCAATGTTTNNNTCGTTATGGGTAGGAATTAGATGAAAGTGACAGTTTCCACCCATTTTCAGCCTTTCCCTGTCGGATACAGTGGCCTGTTGTACACAATGGCCTGATACAGTGGCCTGTTGTACACAATGGCCTGATACAGTGGCCTGTTGTACACAATGGCCTGATACAGTGACCTAGTTACCAGTACATGTACGCGTGTACCTGATAACCTCTAACAGATCCAGGCCAGTCGACATTGATGGAACACAAAGATCAGTCACCTTTGAATGTTATATCACACCGACATCGTTTAAACTAAAATAACAATACTTTTAATTAAAAATATCAAATAACATTGTAATTATCATTGTAATCTTTTGAATTATGCACACTTTTTGTTGGCTATCTAGAGTTCATTGAATATAATGATGTGGTTATGTTGTTTGAAGAAGAAAGTAACACGAGCTGATTTCCGTTTACAGCTGAAGCCAGATGAGATGATGAAGCTGGAAAAAAGGCGGGAACAAAATCGGAGGGCGGCGAGAAAGTTCCGGATGAAGAAACATAAAACAACAAAGACACTACAGCAGGTACAGTAATGTTTTTTTTAATAAGTACGGTAATGTTCCCATTAGGTGTACGGTACTGTTTTCTGAAGGGTACGGTACGGTAATCTTCTCGCTGGAAGATTACGATAAAGTTATGATTACAGGGGATACATCTTGGTTAAGTTTTGTAAGACTTAAATGTCGTTTTTAACTTTTGATACACTAGGCGTGTTGACACAAATGTTGACATTGACAACTTTGGACAGTTTCCTGTCCTTAAAACTCCGAAAGAAAGTAGACAGTTGTCGACTCTTCTAAATCGTATATGTTTCTCTGCAGGAGTCGGATGTCTTGGAAAGCAAGAACAACGATCTTCAAGACGACATCCAGACACTACTAAAACAGAAGTTTCACCTCCAGAACCTGCTGTCGGAACACGAGGGCAGATGTCGACTAACGCCCGTCTCGGAGCGACTTTCACCCGTATCGGAGAGACACACACCTATCTCGGAGCAGGATTTGTCTCCCATGGATGACTACCGTATTTGTCCGATCGCGTTACCTCCCCAAAACTTTAACATGGAGTTACCGTAAAGGTTCTGTTGTCAAAGGACTGGCACATCATTACATTGCATAGAGTCATCGGTAAGCATTGTCGGCATTCTGTCATCAGTACCGTAATCAACTTAAGAAACGTCACATAAAAGATGATAACATAGTAACCTTCCTATTGCTGGTCAATTTGTTGTGATAGATGATTCTTTATGAGACCAATAGTTTAACTGTTATATCTACGAGAAGAAATGATCATTTTAATTACACTCTATTTACGACAATGCGAGTTCAGGAACTCCCGGCGACCTGTCTTCATTTTCATTCATATTCATCTATAGGCATGCGTCAGATGACAAAACACGTCCTTTCATTCCATATATGGACGAGTACAGTCTGAACGATAACGCATGCCCAGTCAACAGACAAAATGAAAACATCAAAAATGATCTCATCCGATATTTTTGGAATGCCGAATTTTTATATTTAAACGGTTTGTATAATCCTGGTGGATTTTCCACGTTGCACTTTTTAAGATTGATGATTTTTTTTGTTCCCTTTTTGAGAAATTCGCACAATTATTTTTATTTCTATTTTGAGGAACTGTATTGATGCTGTGTAATAACTTACATATTGAATATAATATTTGTCACGTGTTTCCGCTTTTGTGGTCAAAGTGAATTGTGGGTATAGTGATAGGTATTGTGGGAATAATGACGTATTGTCCGTCAGTGCCAGCCTGAACAACTATTACTAACAATGAGACCCATTAAGTGTTTTCCATTATACTAATCAAAATACAATAATCATTGAGAAACATCATCCCCCATTACCATAACAATACGTTGACTCCAGCTTGAATTGGAATGTATCGAAAAATGAATTCTCAGGATTTCTTTCTTATTACTTTAACCTGTTAGTTTCAGTTTGAAATTGCTTTGTCTTTTTTTCTTAAAAGATACCAATTGAAGATAAAATATTGGCTATTCAAACGCCGGTCGTTTGGTGAGGTGTAATTGGGGATTGGAGGCTAATGCTGGTGGTGCGGGGTGTCTCGTGAATTCCATTACAACGTTTCGCGCAGTTTGGCTGTCTCTTCTGATTGAATAATCTAATTGGAGATTGCCTGTAATGACATTGTAATTAGACACTGTTTTATGGTCCTCATCAATAACACACAATGCCTTCATGGACTTTTTCGATTGGATAAAATGCAAATGTCAAGTTAGAAATAACAGAGAACGGATTTTCTCCGATAATGAAAATAGTCCCAGTAAATTGAAAAGAAAAATCAAAATGTTTACGTACATGCATTGTTTGTGTCACAGATGATAATTATAACACAACAAATTATTACAAACAAATACGTCATTCTATTGTTGGTGTGTGACTCATCCCTGTTTTTACGGTAATTTGAATACCATTTCATACAACCAGAAACACATCAAATTTTTATAAGAATATATATTGCATTATAAATACTAATGAATAAACACTAACACTAGCTCAACCTTATCTTACCACCGACACCTGACAAAACACCACCTATAACACATATCAGAATGGGCTCTGTGTCCATTTAATTGATCAGAACCAATTGTACACGTGCTTGAATAGCTTTTTTGAATTCCGATGTCGCGGTACGAGTCATTATGATTAGCTACGATACTTGGTTTGTTAGAGACATAAACTGACTCTGTGAAAGGTCATGTCCAGCTTTGTGACCGCTGGCTGTCTTCTATACCGGTATTGACCGGATATCTATACAAGTCGTGACCGGTTATTTGACTGGATATCTATACCGGTTGTGAGACTGGATATCTATTCACGACGTGTCCGGTTATTTGTCCGGATATCTTTCCGGTTTTGTGCTTGGATATATATACGCGACGTGTCCGGTTATTTGACTAGATATCTATACCGGTTGTGTGACTGAATATCTATACAAGTCGTGACCGGTTGTGTGACTGGATATCTATTCACGACGTGTTCGGTTATTTGACTGGATATCTATACCGGTTGTGTGACTGGATATCTATTCACGACGTGTCCGGTTATTTGACTGGATATCTATACCGGTTATTTGACTGGATATCTCAACCGGTTTTGTGCTNGGATATCTATACATGTCGTGACCGGTTGTGTGACTGGATATCTATACCGGTTGTGTGACTGGATATCTATACATGTCGTGACCGGTTGTGTGACTGGATATCTATACATGTCGTGACCGGTTGTGTGACTGGATATCTATACCGTTCGTGCCTGGTTGTGCAACGGGGTAACTGTACCAGTTTTTAGACGGGATATCTTTGCTGAACGTGCCTGGTTCTGTGACAAGATATCTGTTAACCTAGAAAGCAATCGTAGTCTCCTTACTGTCTTGGAGTAGGTGTATGATGATATCCATAGATATGAAGTGTACACTGGGGCGCTATACTCTTAACATGTAGGAAGTGAGTACACTGGGGGTCTATACCTGTAGGAAGTGAGTACAATAGGGCTCTTAACATGTAGGACGTGAGTACAATGGGGGTCTATACCTGTGTTATGTGAGTACAATAGGGCTCTTAACCTGTAGGAAGTGAGCACAACGAGGGTCTATACCTGTAGAAAGTGAGTACAATGGGGTCTATACCTGTATGAAGTGAGTACAATAGGGCTCTTAATCTGTAGGAAGTGAGTACAACGGGGGTCTATACCTGTAGGAAGTGAGTACAACGAGGGTCTATACCTGTAGGAAGTGAGTAAAATGGGGCTCTTTACCTGTATGAGATGAGTACAGTGAAGCCCCATTCTTGCAGGAAGCGAGTACAATGGGGGGATTTAAACATGTAAGAAATAAGGTTATTGGGTGCTATTTTGCTGTTTGCTTTCTTGGTGTTAGTTTGTTATATACCCATTGAAATGGGTTGCAATTTCAGAGATCAAGAAAGATTTGTGAGGAATGTTTAATTCCACACTTGACGAATGCTGATACTGCGGTAGATAATGTTGGTAGAATCCTACCCGTTGTGTAGTGTACTAGTCAGTTAAGGTAGGGCTTGATACCGGAAGTAGTACCGATACGTCATCACGTGACAATCTCAGTTGACATAGTGCTTCAAACCTTCCTTGTGTTTTGGTTATTTGGCTTTCACGTTAGTTCTATGTCCTGTTGTTGAGATTGTTGAGTGCGCTCAATCCCTCTGTCTAACGAACCGATTATTGTCGCCTTCAAGTGGCAGTAAAATCACATCGGTATTGTCGTCTGTTTGCCGATGACATATCAGTGAAGATCGGCACGTAGTTTACGCATGCGTGACTTATTTTCGAATGGTTTTTTTCCTTTTCTGACAAACATGAGGGAATCACTTTCGAAAGGATACATGTGATTGTCCCACACTACCCTGTCTTTAAGGTATACTTAAGACCTGTAGCTATGTGGTAACTACTTCCGGTTCCAGGTGTAATGCTAGGCAATTTATACCGGGACAGCGTCAGTTCTATTTGTCGTGAGCGATTTCCTGATTGGCTACCTCGGTTATTATGAATGTTCATTAATGAGTTTATGTAGATCTGTTGTCAGAACGTATCTGTTAATCGCATTGAGGAATTGTCAAATATTGTCATTCATTGCTTTGTTTTTCTCCAATATATTATTGGATAAAAATGTAGACGACAGTGCTTAGTTTGTGTATCACCTCCCCATTTACAGTACAGTTGAAATCACTTTTGAGGCGGCGTGCTTTATTCGTATTCCTCGTAAAAACTTCAAATTATACGCTCATTTTCAGGATATCCAGTTTTTTCCTTTCTTTTATGTTGTGATCTGTACCCTTTTCAACGAATTTAAAATGTTTTGATTTTATTCCTCACGAAAAGGTTTTAACAAAAAACTTTGGATTGCTTTGAAGAATGATCTCGTTTGTCAGCTAATGTCGGATAGTGTCGGATGGTGTCGGGTAATGTCGGATGGTGTCGGGTAATGTCGGTTGATATCGTTATTCTCACATGGAATATTCGTGTCATTAGCATATCCGTTGTTCCACAGTAACTGTACTCGTCTACGCGTGTATTTGTTATGTACGTGTATATATATAATGATACGTGCAGCTGTTCCCCCTGATTACAATTATAGTTTGAGAATTATAACATTTGTTGTCCACACTTTAAATGATCTATCCTGAGATATATTTGTTCCTTTTGTTAAACATTCTATTGATTTTTGTCATTTTTTATGAAAAAAATCTCATGTTGATCTCAAATGTTAAATTGGCTGTTTGTTTCTCACGAATTTTATCATTGCATTTCTATCACTGTATTCCTAGGAATATATATATATATGTGTTAATGTGTTTGTTAAACCGCCATGTTGTGAATGCTGTCAATGTTGATATATACATTCTTCATTGTAATCATTATTCGTGTATATCGTCAGTAAGTGTGTCATTGTTTTACCACATTCTAACCTTCTGTAAGGTATGTAGATTCCGACCGTGTGTTACGGTGTGTAGATTCCGACCGTCTGTTACGGTGTGTAGATTCCGACCGTCTGTTACGGCGTGTAGATTCTGACCGTCTGTTACGGTGTGTAGATTCTGACCGTCCGTCACGTTGTGTAGATTCTGACGGTTTGTTACGGTGTGTAAATTCTGACCGTCCGTCACGGGTGAAGGTTTTGTTTCTCGTATTTCCTACGACAAAGTTTTCGTTGTTTTCCTCATTATTCCCATCAGACAATTGTACATATCCCCACACAGCAGGCCACTCTCTTATCCCCTAATCCAAAGATACATACCACGCGGACAGTTCAGACAAGAACAACGTAATATTACACAGTCTATATTACGTACAGTTAGCATAATGGAAAATTCAAAATGTTTAATAAGTTATAAATATGTTACAAATGAGTATTATTCACCCGAAAAATTATACCTAAGCAACCTCTTTGTGAAACAGTTTGGTAGCCTCTAATATGGTGTTGCTCGTTTTCATTTGTTTCACTTGCTTATAATGGAGAAAAAAGTTATATTAACACCAAGTGAAAAGGCAATATTCAAGAACATTTGGCCTGCTGTGTTGGGATGATGTCAGCTCAAGACGGACAATACACTGTCATCCCTTATCACATAGTAAACATACAACAAACATAGAACCCATTACAGTAGGCCATCCGTTAGAACCCTGATACTGGACTTTCAAACCTCACGTTCAGTAATACTTTTAGAATATCAAAATATATAACGGAGAACCAAAGTTGGGTTGGAATCTCCTAGGAGTTTATTTGTCCAGTTGCCGTGTTGTACTGTCGTGTCCTGTTAGCAGGGTGACTAGAGATTTGTTCATACCTGTACGTGTCTGTCACCTGTATTATATATCTCTGATATTTTGAGTAAGTAAGTGTTTTTTTCTCAAGAATTCACCTTCCCTATATTTTCTAAACATCATATCTTTGTCTGTCCTGTTTCAACATCCTTCTCACTGCATCAAATGCAATAGTCTCACTTCTTATTCCATACCCCTCCCTAGTCCACGTACCATTTAGTCCCTGCTGTTTGTACGAACATTGAAGTCACACGGTCACAACTCTCTCAAACTATCTGTAAAGCTATAGAAGGTCTACGAAGATAGGTCTGGAGCCGGGTGTAGCTGGCTGGTCTGTTTAACATAACACATTTCAACAAAAGCAAAGAAGAAAGACATTGACATCTCGTCAAACTTGCTTAATTCCTTAGTAACAAATCAAAATAGCTCTGGAGCCAGAGTTGTCAATTTTCCATTGTTTTTATAAGTTGAAAATGTGGGTTTCAATCCCGAATCCCGATTCTTCCTGGTAACGCAAAATTACGTAGAGAACAGCGCATCACTGTCCAAGCAATACGTCTGTTCAATGTTCGTACACCAGGGTTCATAACAACACTTCATAAGAGAGCGAGAACTACATCTTGTGTCATCAACATCCCTCTTATTGTGACGTCGTTCCATCATCTCGTAAATCTCCAAGATTTGAATAATATATTATTACGGAGAGAGTAATAAATACTTATTCCAAAAGTGCTTATATAACAATGGTATAATAGAATTCTTTCGTTTTTATATACACTTACATATATATATTGCAATGCGATGCCTTATGAATATGTATAGATCCATCCAGACTTAACATGAATATGCAAATCACTTATGAATATTTATAACTACGTATATACAACAAGTCCATTTCGAATTGTGTTTGTCTTATACGATTGTAATTGTGTCTTCATGTTAAACTATAGGAACTGGCAGTTAGCATATACCACCAAAAGTGTTAAGATATGGAACTCAAATTACCGACTGTGTCACGAGTTGAAAGGACAATACTTTCAAAAGGGGTTTAGGTTTAAAATATTTTGATTTTAATGTATCGTGATTATATCAATCTTAATTAAACGCGTGAAAGTGAAGTCAACATGTGTTGATCAGTACACTATCAAAGTTTATCCTGTCCATGTGTTTTTATCCTGACAGTACTTGTTCTGTAACGCCTAAGTACAAGCACTTGTCCAACGAATTTTCTTTATCACAACTGATGTTGAAATGCAATAAACGTCCCGATAATGTCCAAACAAAACATATCCGTCATGTTGGATCATCTACCACATCACCAACGCCTGGTCAAGTGCAGGTTGCGCTCACATCTCAACCCATAAGGCTATACATAGAGTATGCGTTGTTTACTTAGGAAGACAATTTCTTTAATTCATATTTATAGATTTTTTTATTACAAAACTTCGCGGAATAAATCGCAATTTCCTATGCTTTTTATGAGCGATTTTCGACAAACATGATTTTTTTGTTCTTCTTTGACTTTTTCGGCAATTTGCTACAACATGAATGTTTTCCTTCGAATTCGTTTGCAATTTGCTACTACATGATTTGTTTTTCATTGTCATTGTCTGCAATTTGATATATTGCGTCTTGTTTTCTAATGTCTTTGTTGGCAATTTAACATGACATAACTTATTTCCTTTCTCTTTGTCAGCCATTTGATATAACATGACTTGTTTTTGTTTGTGTTTGCGAAGATTTTTATATTACAGAATCTCCTTTATCATACTTTTGTATACTATGGAGTATGAGATAGGTCGACCATAACAGCCTTGTCATCGTCATCTTGTCCACCTA